CGTTAGTTTAGAGGATACTTTGTTTCGTTAGTTTAGAGGATACTTTGTTTGGTTAGTTTAGAGGGTACTTTGTTTCGTTAGTTTTAGAGGATACTTTTTTTCGTTAGTTTTAGAGGATACTTTGTTTCGTTAGTTTAGAGGATACTTTGTTACGTTAGTTTTAGAGGATACTTTGTTTCGTTAACGCTATTTTCAATTATATTTCAAATTTAACGTTAGTTAAAATCTCAATTTTATTCACTTAAAAAACTAAATATCTTCAGCATTTCACTATCAGTAGGTTTAGAAAAAAAAACTTTTTTAATTCGCTCGATGTCTCCAAATTTCTGGGTTAAACTGAACGAGGTTATATAGTGTATAGAGTGATGATGTACGCTAATGCTTTACTAATTGTATAGGCCATCAACTATACCGAGAGCGTACTGCATACATTTTAGAATATACATTTTAGAACTGTTAAGCACATTTTTTAAGTAAGTATAATTGAAAAAAGTTCTTCGCGTTTTGTGTTGGATCACTGTTATATCTGGATACAGTCGTCGTCGTTCATATCAATACAATGACGACGCTTTTCGATATAAAATTAAATGTCTACTAAGGTTTTAAACAGCATGGGTTAAAATAAACATGGAAGCAAAGAGAAGATGTCAATTATCAACTTTTATTTGTTTTCTTGTAAACTTGTTTTTTTGAAAAAGCTTTTTAGAAATTAAAATAAAAGCCGTCTTCACTGTATTGGCATAAACGTCGACCACACTGTAGTTGTAAGGAGATCTCCTATTAATATTAAGATAATTATTCATTTCCATTAATTAACAAGAAATAAATGTCAATTCTTATATTTCAAGCAATTTTAATAATAATAAATATTAGAGTTATAACTAATTGACTGAAGAGCTGCGTCGTCTTCTTTATTTACCGTTTCTTTGTTGATTGTTACAGGCATTGTATGACCAAGGATTGTTAGGATACCTAAAATTTAAAAAAATTTATAAAAAGGAGGAGAATGTTGAATGTCGTCTTCTTTATTTCCCGAATTGATTGTTACAGGCATTGTATGACCAGGGATTGCTGGGATACCTAAAAAATGTATGTGAACCAAATTAAACAAAAAAAACTACAATGATAACCAGAAACAATGGAATAGTAAGACGACATTTTAGCAATACTTCAGTGTATTTGATGATGTTACAAGGCAAATAGTTTTCTTATACACTTAAAAAATCACTTATTTTGTGAAATGGGTCTGTTCGCACTGCACAATTACTGTGTTTCAAGTTAATTGAACTTTTTTAAGATAAAACTTGATTCTCAAAGTCGTCCTCCTATTCCAGAGTTATCTGGTTATCACTGTATTAACTCACTTGAAACAGCGTATATAAAATCCCTTTAAAAATATAATTTTACTCACTGCTGGGAGTTCTGATAATCTCCACAGTTTCCCCCGTATCCGGTAGTGTAGCACCAAGCCCGACCTGATAACATTTTTGTTAAAAATTAAAAATTCTTCAGAAAAATATTTAATTATTAATCACCGGTATTGTCGCGACTTCTACAGGCGCCTTCACGTCCATTGTTGATAGTCAGCTGTGTGCATTGGCATCCTCGGCCGCCATTGTTAAATCCACCATTGTTAAATCCGCCATTGTTGAATCCGCCATTGTTGAATCCGCCATTGTTGAAGCCACCATTATTGAAGCCACCGCCATTATTAAATCCACCATTATTGAAACCGCCGTTGTTGAATCCACCGCCACAGCCGTTGTTGTTGCTTCCGAGGAAAAATCTGGTGCTGGTTGAGTTACCGCCTTCACCGCCTTCAGTAGCCTTCGAAAAAACATTAAACACAACTTCAGTAAAGCTAAAACTCGAGCACATTGCTCTTGATGGACTCGATGAAGATATTCAGAAGCAACAATATAAAAACGACAACATTTAGTTTCTGCAATACCACCACTAATATTAGTTAATAAATGCAGATCCAATTACATGGTTACCCGCAAAGAATGACACTTTAGAGAGGACTGTACGGAATTTATACTACGTCTGTTTCCATATATGCTATATAGCTCCTGCAAACTAAAAATTTCATTTCTTTCTTTGCAAATCGTTGACAAACGCCATTTAAAGAGACTTAATTTAAAGCAGAAGACTTAATTTAACCCTGGGATTGTCATATTGAAAAAGTTTCAAATCGACTTTACCGTCTTCTTTGTAGCTAGCTCTGTATCTATGAAGGGAGAGCAGAGATCGAAAATATATGTGCAATATTAATTAACTCAATTCTCATATTATTGGAGTTATTGCTGAGACTAAATGTCGTCTTTTTCACAATGCTGATTTGAAAATGCTTTTAGTTGTGGCTAATGTGAGGAAAATAGAATTATTTAATTTCCAAATCACCTGTCTCCTCCTTCGACCACATGGGTTGCTGTTAAACCCACCGTTGAATCCGCCATTGTTAAATCCACAATTGTTATTGTTTCCTCCCAGGAAGAATCTTGTATTTGTCTTATCCTCTCCGTTTCCATCTCCGGCAGCCTACGCCAACAAAATATCAATTACAGTGAAACCTATAAAATTGTGGAATAGAAAGACAGATGTTAGACTCAAGTTCGGTTTTTAAATAGTCCAATAAACATGAAACCCGGCAATTGTGTAGTGTACACAGGCCCATTTCACTTAATAAATGAAATTTAAAGCAATTGGTTAAGCTATTTGCTTTATGACATTAACAACATAAAAAATTATTTTTATGCCATTCAACATTTAATTTCAATAAAAAAAGAAAAGCAAAACAAAAAAACAAAGTCTATAAAAACAAAAACGAGGAAAAATATTAATTTTCTAAACTTCCTGCATAAATTTGTTATTTCCATAATTCCTAATATGATCTTTTTATCGTGATTACTGTTATTATATTGTTTTTCATCTATTTGGTAATTCTTCTTATTTATCAAAAAGACACAAGATAACAACCCCCCCCTCTCCTCCGGCAACATAGAAAAAAGAATGTTTATGAAATACTGTCACCTGACGTTTTCTCCGTCCACAAGGGTTATTGCAGTTGTTGTTGGGGAGGAAAAATTTGGTGTTTGGTTCTCCGTTAGCCTTTAATCAAACATATATCAACTAGTGTTTTAATTGTGTTTACGTTCTTTAAATTAATAAAAACTTTTAAAATTTCAAAACTGCAAATCTTTTGAAGTTAGTACTTTCTAAACTTTCTAAAACACGTTTGTTTTTTGCATCTTTTTGGGGATAGTTATTTTAGTCGAATTTTTGCATAAACCTTCTAATTGTTATATTTATTGGGACACCCTGTATAAGGAAGTTATATGACTGAAACCAGTTTGCGATAAAGAGTTTTTACTGAGCGGTATAAAACACAGATAGGACAAGAAATATAATTAATGTGAATAGAATTTGTCTGCATTACACTAATATCATCCTTATATAGTATACAAAATACAGACATAGCCATTAAAAAGTAATTAAGACTTGAGATTCACTTATACAGGGTTACCCACAAATGATGAGAATTCAGACTTGTACGCAATTTATTTTGTCCGTTTTCTTGAAATGTGGGTTCTTTGTTGGCTGAAACAAGGCATATTTCCTTGCTTTACCATTTAGTCTTTGATCAAATGACTCTATTTAATTCGAAAACCAAAAATAAAACTTCAAATTGTAATATTTTTGGGTCGTCTTTACAGTCACATCTTTTGTGCGTAACCATGTATTCAAAATGGACTGCACGATGCGACCCTGAATCTAAAGAATGATGCCCTTTAAAGGGACAGTAAGCATAATTTTTAGTGACCCTCCATGCAAAGATGCCAATAATGCCCTATTTACAACGGTAAACTGAAAAGCATTGTCTGATCAAGAATATTTTAATTAATGTTTGTAATTTTAACTTGAGATTGTATTTAAGTGTGGTTTCTCTATGGAAACGAATTGCGCATTTGTCCTGCAGGAAAACGTTGGAATTGTCAGAAACTAACACTTTTAAACCTGTAAACACGACAATATCTTCAACAATATTGATCAGATAACTAGGTGGCAAGGGTACCGTTGTGAATCGGGAATTAAATGGAATTAAAATTGAGGATCTCATAAATACGAATACAGCCCCTTTAATACCTGTCTTTTTCTCCTGCCGCAGGGGTTACCTCCTAGACCTAAAACTCCTGGATTTATTGCTCCTGTCAGTAAACCTGCTCCTCCTACTAATCCAGCTCCTAGTAAACCTCCTGAAACATCATGTGTGAGTGGGCCATCACTTTCAAACCCACGTTTGTAATGTCAAGTTAAACATTCTGAATATCAAGAATATGGCTGGATCATTACGATTTGTTTGATGGCTTTGAATTACAGATCAATGTTTCAAAAAAGCTTGGATTCCTTACGAATACTGCATTTATTGGAAATAAATGCAATAACTGATAAACTGTTTCCTTTTTTTAAATGCAAAAATAGATCTCAGTATTCCTATCAATTGAGAACCTACGGAAAAGATCCTTCTTGGATTTCTACAAAAAAAACTGACAATAAAAAATGGTAGAGAAATTCTTAAAACACTTTAACTATATTCCCTTTAATACTCTTAGGTTACCATCTGAAAGGTTTCATATATAATCCATAGATTCCAGTTATGTTTCATGGAAAGCAATAAAACCACTATTAAAACCATATAAGATTCAGCAATGATTATACAGTGAAAACCAGAAAACTATAAAATAGGAAATATACATTAAATCAATACTCAAGTATATTTGATGTTTTCACAAAACAAAACAGTTTTCTTGTGATTTATTAAATCACTTATTCAGTAAAATGAGTCTGATAAACTGTTAACACTGTACAGTGTACAGTGCACAGTCTATAGTGTAGAGTGAGCAGTGTAATTAGAGGAACTGTCATTGTTATTTCAGGTAACCTTTAAGCAACATGAAAATACGGGCACGCCCAAATCACATCAGCATCCTTTGAATTTTTTTCGGATCAATAACGTTGAGGATATCTTCATTTTCCTAAGCCCAAAAGTAATAAATTTTGACAATGTCCTCAACATTGTTTCTGAAACATAAATGCGCAAGTCACTTTATAGAGAAACTTCAATTAGAAATAATCAACTTTAAACCAGAAAGTAATTGATATCTCTTTTATTCTTAAAAAGACAAATATTTTAGGGTATCGTTGTGGATCGGACATAGATTATACAATCCCTTTGATGAATGTTTCTGTACTCACCATTAATGAGATTATCCGTGTTAGCGCTTCCAGTTGATAATCCGGGAATAATTCCAAGAAATCTGGTATCTGTGTTTGCCTAGAATATATAACATATTTTTATTGTTATTTTATGCGCCTTAACAGTCTACATCCTGCATTTTTTGCAAATAATTTGCATGAAACTTACAGCTTTTGGTTTGCGGTTTCACGATTGCTTTGTTTTTCTTTGCAAAATAATGGCAACATATTGTAGGATTTCCAAAAAAAATTCTTTGAAACAACTTTTTTAAATAAAAATTTTTACCAAAAAACCGGATAAAAAAAGTTGAAACTTATTGAAACAAAAATTTGGTTGTATAAAAACAATTTTTACTTTAAAACGTCTCTTCTGCTCTCTTAAAAGCTTCTAAAAGATTTTATTATTTTTGCAATCTTGAAGCGTAATTTCAACTTCATGCAAAGATACCAATGCCCAATTTACAGGTTTCTCTTGAAACTTTAATCTGATATTAAGTCTGGAAGATAACGTGGTTTTCTGACTGTATAATTTATCATATTTTTTCTATTGTTTCTATTAAACAAGAAATGAACATACCACTTGTGTAGTAAAAAAAATTTAACAAAACAGTTTAAAAAAACAAAAAAAACACGTTGATATTAAATTTTACTTGATCAGACAAAGCTTTTAAGAATACTGTTGTAAATCAGACAGCTGCCATTTTTACATAGAGGACCACTTAACATTACGCTTACAGTCATTTTAACAGATTCAAGAAAGGTTCCGTCAGACTTTTTCAGAATTAAAATTAATAGAAAATTTAAAACTTTCCAAAAGCAAAGATAAACCTACTTGATCTGCTGAAGATGATGAAGAAGAAGATGAATCTCCGAAGTTAGCTTGTGCTAAAGCTCCAGCTATGCACACTGCTAACCCTGTTACTGCTACAGTTAATCTCATGATCTAATAATATAAACTACATTTAANAAACGTCAAAACGGCTGAACCGATCGGGCCCAAATTTTTTGCGGGACATCTAGGGACCCCAGGGAAGGTTTATGAAAAATCAAAATTTCAAATATTTGTCTTCATCAAAATTCGATCGTCATTAAATTTTTAAAAATTTTGAAAATCCGCGAATTTTTTTGTGAAAATCCGCTAATTTTTGTTTTAATTTATGATGCACACAAAGAGAACATGTTCACAATTAATTTACAAGCTAAGGCTAGAAAGAAGGGCGCGAAGCGCCTTGAATTTCTAGTAATATAAAATACAGTTAATCTTATGCTCTAATAATATAAAATACAGTTAATCTCATGATCTAATAATTTTAAATACAGTTAATCTCATGATCTAATAATATAAAATATAGTTAAGCTCATGATCTAATTTTATAAAATACAGTTAATCTCATTATCTGATCTACCAATAAATAAAAAACAGTTTAAATCATCATTTAAAAAAATTAATTTAAAATTTGATTATTATACTTAAAGAATTTATAGTATAAAATATCAAAAGTCTACGACATTAGGTTACAAAGATATATACAGTGATTATGAAATTAGAGGAGCCAATTGCATTTAGTACAAAAAAAGACCAAATTCTTATCATATCTTAGCTCAGTCGAACTCGAGTTTGAGAATTCCAAAAATAAACTACCGACCACATTATGGAAATCCCAAAACTATCTATAATTCTGTATTTCGCGCAAAATTTTAACCTTTCTGCGCAATGCAACAGTGAGAGCGGCGCACTTAGAAGAAAATATATATTACTTGATCTGCGCGTTGAGGTGTTGCCTGTGCTTACTGCCTGAAAGGAACTGGTGATCTGGTTGCTTTCTGGTTTCAAACCAGTATATATACGGGTAAACTCTTATTTGGGTTTTCCGCCGCGTATTCCTGGTTAATTTTCATGGAGATTTTAATGAAGGGACTGCTACTTTACTGTCAGCTTTACACATCAAATACAAGGACTGCGTCACCCTAGGTTATGACCAGAGAAAAGAGAGTCTGCAGTGGTTATATGACGGACAAGAAAAACAAGTTGACAAAAAAAGGTAAATTACAGGGTGTCCCAAAAAACATGGGAATTAAAAGACGACTTGAAAATTGTCGTCGATTTCTGAAAGGTGATAAATGACAAAGAGTTTATCTACCTAAAGGCTGAAAGGGTTATGAGCTTCTGAAAATGTGGTCTGCCTTCTTTTTATCTTCTCACTTGACGGAGAATTAAACATTTGAAAGATTTCGTTGTTCTTAACAAATATTTCCGTCAATTTTGAAGGTGCAAATATGGTAAACCACATTTTGGAATTTCCAAGACTAGCATTAACTGTTTTGACTGGAACTTTTGGAATATTACACAAATTGTTTTGTCACGTGGAACAAAGACGATATAGAAGTCGTCACTTAATTCATGTTACATCGTTTTAAGAGTTAAGTAATCTCTGGTATTATACATCCATGGATTTATAGGTTTAAGAGTTAAGTAATCTCTGGTATTATACATCCATGGATTTATAGGTTTGCGTTTTCCAGGTTTAACAAAGAAGCCAAATTACCAGAAGATGCTGGATTTTTAAAGATTTTACAGTTTTCTTTTGTTCCTTATAGTTCCCAATATTTTGTACAGTTCCCAAAATTTTGTTCAGTTCCCAATATTTTATACAGTTCCCAAAATTTTGTTCAGTTCCCAATATTATATACAGTCCCAATATTTTGTACAGTTCCCAAAATTTTGTTCAGTTCCTAATATTTTGTTCATTTCCAAATATTTTGTTCAGTTCCCAATATTTTGTTCAGTTTCTAATATTTTCTTCAGTTCCCAATATTTTGTTCAGTTCCCAATATTTTGTTCAGTTCCCAATATTTTGTTCAGTTCCCAATATTTTGCTCAGTTCCCAATATTTTGTTCAGTTCCCAATATTTTGTTCAGTTCACAATATTTTGTTCAATTCCCAATATTTTATACAGTTCCCAATATTTTGTTCAGTTCCCAATATTTTGTACAGTTCCCAAAATTTTGTTCAGTTCCCAATTTTTTGTTCAGTTCCCAATATTTTGTTCAGTTCACTATTTTTTTTTACAGTTCCCAATATTTTGTTCAGTTTCTAATATTTTCTTCAGTCCCCAATATTTTCTTCAGTTCCCAATATTTTGTTCAGTTCCAAATATTTTGTTCAGTTCCCAATATTTTGTTCAGTTCCCTATTTTTTTTACAGTTCCCAATATTTTTTTCAGTTTCTAATATTTCTTCAGTTCCCAATATTTTGTTCAGTTCCCAATATTTTGTTCAGTTCCCAATATTTTGTTCAGTTCACAATATTTTGTTCAATTCCCAATATTTATACAGTTCCCAAAATTTTGTTCAGTTCCCAATATTTTGTACAGTTCCCAAAATTTTGTTAAGTTCCCAATATTTGTTCAGTTCCCAATATTTTGTTCAGTTCCCAATATTTTGTTCAGTTCCCTATTTTTTTACAGTTCCCAATATTTTGTTCAGTTTCTAATATTTTCTTCAGTTCCCAATATTTTGTACAGTTCCCATATTCCCAATTATTTTTTTTAATTTTTGTAGCAAAAATAGATTATTATAATAACTATTTTGTACAGTCGCATAGGACCTAATATGTTGTATAGCTCCCAATTATTCTCTAGAGGAAGTAGAGTCATCCCTTCTAATTTTGATAAATATTTTTATAATTTTCAAATTCTGAATCCTTAAACAAAAAAAATTCTATTCTGCTGAATCAAAGTTGTGACGAATATGTCACAAAAATATAATTTTTATTTTCAATATCATTGGTAAATAATATTTTAAATATCGTCATTTATAAAATCTTTTTTTTGGCAGAGATCATGGAGGGGGCACTTTTTGTAGTAATCAATTAAAACATTTCATTTAAAAAACTTTCCGATTTGAAATGTGATATTCCGTCTTTTTTCGGTTTTCTTTTAATTCACATTTTTTTGGGAACCACAGTATTTGAGCCGTTACTTTGGCAATCACAAAGAAAAGTTCAAAAATAAATTTTCGGAAATAAAACCTCTACTATACACTCCTGTATGCCGATTCCTTTAGCGCCTGATCCAATAGGGTTCAGTCATGTGTTTGTTATCTTTTCTGAACCAATAGAAATAGTATGGCGGTAACATCTATCTTTCTATCTATCTCATTATTCAATTAGAGTTATGAGTTTTTCAATCGGCGCTATCAGTAAAGGGAAATATTTACTGAAACTATAGAGTTTAGTAAAGATGTTGATTTTTATGTGGCGTGTGTAAAATTTTAGAAACATCAAAGAGCTCTTGGAAAACGATTAAATAAAGAAAAAATAGCATCAATCAATTTCATCAATAATTTTGTCAAATTTTTTAACTTTAATGTACCCTTTCATTTTGTTTTAAAATCTTTTGACCTTTTTAGGTAACTAGTCAGACTGTATATAGCCTATCTGGTAATAAAAACAAAGATTTAAAAACCATACATTGTAATGACATTTTTCTTTTATCAAGAGACTGTCAACGATAATGGCCTTTCGTGTCAGATTCACCACTTTACCCTCTCAACTTTTAAACAACGTCATGAGAAACAATTCTTCAAGACAGATGGTGAATAGTTTTAAATGTCTTCTTACATATACTGTATTATACAGGGTGTCCCACGAAACATGGCAGTTGATAAATAGTTTTTAATGTCGTCTTCCATACACTGTATTAGATATTAAAGGCTGTTTGCAGTTTATTTCGTTTAAAAAATCTTTTGCTCTAAAAGTATATTTTACTTTGAAATTAATGTTACTATAATATGACTCCTAAATAATATTTTTATTATTGTCTTTCGTATTAAAAAACTTATCAAATTATGGAAGAAGACATTCTAAACTATTTATACCAACTGTCATGTTTCGTGGGACACCCTGTATATCAAAGGCTTATTGTAGTATATATAAACTAGAAATTCAAGGCGCTTCGCGCCCTTCTTTCTAGCCTTAGAGGGCGCTTCGCGCCCATCTTCTAAATTAATTGTAAACATGTTCTCTTTGTGTACATCGTAAAACTAAACAAAAATAATTCGCGGATTTTTACAAAAAAAGAGAGTCTGCAGTGGTTATATGACGGACAAGAAAAACAAGTTGACAAAAAAAGGTAAATTACAGGGTGTCCCACGAAACATGACAGTTGGTGAATAGTTTTCTGTATTAGATTAAACACTATTTGAAGTTTATTGCGTTAAAAAAAATCTTTTACTCAAATATATTTTACGTTGAAATTAATTTTACTTTAAGCTGACTCCCATACAATATTTTTTATTATTCTATTTGGTATTAAACATCTTAACAAATTATGGAAGAAGACATTTTAAACCATTCACCAACTGTCATGTTTCGTGGGACACCCTGTATATCAAAGGCTTATTGTAGTATATATAAACTAGAAATTCAAGGCGCTTCGCGCCCTTCTTTCTAGCCTTAGAGGGCGCTTCGCGCCCATCTTCTAAATTAATTGTAAACATGTTCTCTTTGTGTACATCGTAAAACTAAACAAAAATAATTCGCGGATTTTTACAAAAAATTTCGCGGATTTTCAAAATTTTAAAAAATTTAATGACGATCGAATTTTGATAGAGACAAATATTTGAAATTTTGATGATTCATAAACCTTCCCTGGGCTCCCTAGATGTCCCACAAAAAATTTGGGCCCGATCGGTTCAGCCGTTTTGACGTTTATTGGATACAAACAAACAAACAGACAAACAAACAGACAGACAAACAAGCCAAATTTATATATAGATTTGGCTTGTTTGTCTGTCTGTTTGTTTGTCTGTTTGTTTGTTTGTATCCAATAAACGTCAAAACGGCTGAACCGATCGGGCCCAAATTTTTTGTGGGACATCTAGGGAGCCCAGGGAAGGTTTATGAATCATCAAAATTTCAAATATTTGTCTCTATCAAAATTCGATCGTCATTAAATTTTTTAAAATTTTGAAAATCCGCGAATTTTTTTGTAAAAATCCGCGAATTATTTTTGTTTAGTTTTACGATGTACACAAAGAGAACATGTTTACAATTAATTTAGAAGATGGGCGCGAAGCGCCCTCTAAGGCTAGAAAGAAGGGCGCGAAGCGCCTTGAATTTCTAGTTGTAGTATATTTTGTTAAAAAAAATCTTTTACTCAAATATATTTTACGTTGAAATTAATTTTACTTTAAGCTGACTCCCATACAATATTTTTTATTATTCTATTTGGTATTAAACATCTTAACAAATTATGGAAGAAGACATTTTAAACCGTTCACCAACTCATGCCATGTTTCGTGGATGTCATGTTTCGTGGGACGCCCTGTATGAAACCGGATATTTAGTTGATTTTCTCATACTCGGGCGTAATATAAAAACAAGAGAAGCTATGGCGTCACAAAGTCGTACTAGTGTCTTGTTTCTAGTGCACAGTCCCTTTAAAGGGACTGTAAGCGTGTACAGTCCCTTTAAAGGGACTGTAAGCGTGATTTCGAAGAAACCCAGTTCAGATTCACACCAGTACCCTTTAAACCTTGGACAGATCGAGGATGAGGGAGAATGCGCTATTCATCTAGATAGAAAATCTATTCAAAAGGTCACTTGAAACTAGGCTTACAGTTCCTTTAAATCCAAAGAGATTATTGCAAAATCATGGTAGTGAAGCACTTGCCAAATCACTGCAAATAAAACAACAATAAATTCAATTTACTTTACATTTACCGTTTGTTCTATAAACAAAGAAAAAGAAATGTATTAGAAGCATCAAGCAGACATTTTTAATCCAATTTTCAATATTTACCTGACCATAAATACAACTTCTAACCCCCCACCCCCCTTGTAAGTCGTCTTTACCAAAACCTCACTTGCAGAAAACCCAAACCAAAGCAAGACTCTGTTAGAATTTATCTACACTCTCTGACAAAGAAACAAAAAAATAGTGAAACGTTTTGCTAAGTGAAAGATCAAATCCATAAATAACTTTGCAATCATGACTTAAAAAGACAGGTTTATATTTTCAAAAGTATTTAAAAATGTTTTAAATTAATCCATCAAACCCTCCAACCCTTAATCACTCCTTTTAATCCGTCACGGGAAGCTATTTATTATTTTTACTATTTAAAATATTCAACTGAATTAACACACTGTCATTTTTATTTTTCATCATACCTGTATTTTAAAACAGGTTTGAAATACATTTTTAATGATTATTGGAGACTAATGTGTCCGAGTTGAGGAGTCTAACCAACGAACCATCCTAACCAACGAACCAACCTAACCAACGAACCAACCTAACCAATGAACCATCCTAACCAACGAACCATCCTAACAAACGAACCAACCTTACCAACAAACCAACCTAACCAACGAATCAACCTAACCAACGAAACAACCTAACCAACCAACCAACCTAACCAACAAACCAACCTAAGCAATAAACCAACCTAACCAACGAACCAACCTAACAAACGAACCAACCTAACCAACGAACCAACCTAACAAACGAACCAACCTAACCAACGAACCAACCTAACCAACGAACCAACCTTACCAACGAACCAACCTAACAAACGAACCAACCTAACCAACGAACCAATTAGCCAATGAACCAACCAACCAACCTAACATCCAAGTAACGACCCAATGTCGTAGACCTTGGAATTCTGTTAGATCAAATATTCTAAGTTTAAAATAACAAAAAGACTCAATTCCTATGTTGATTTAACCATGGCTCTAATGTCTAGGCTTGCAACTTGCAAGACACACAAAAACAATTTGTTAAACCCCTTAAAGAAAGACTTGTGAAAAGAAAAGCAAAAATGCAGTGAGAACCAGAAAACAATGGAATAATCGTTATCCTCCATTTTTAAAAATATGAACATTCTATTTCTAAATGAGTGTCCTGAGCTGAAAACTTTAGGATTGTAAAAATAGAGATCAATGATTACTCTCCTCTTTTTACAAATCTCAAGATTAAATCTATCCAAAAAAGTGTAAAAATAAATATATAATTAAGTTTATAAAGTCCAAACAGCCAATCAGAAACCGGTAAATAACAAATTTTACGCGCCATTTAATCAAACAACTCGCATTGGTCGAACTCTAGTAGAGATATCCGAAAAGAGGGAAGAGAGCGGAATAAGCAGAAATCAAAAGTGTCGACACAGTGGATATTCAGACTAAGCGATCAGTAATTAAAGTATCCAATTCTAAAGTTTTTAGCTCTGGATATTTTAAGAATTTATACACCACTAGGATTTATTCTTCTATTTTTAGTGTGAACATTTTTTCTTTGTTTACATTGTAAAACGAAAAAACAAAGTTCGCAGATTTTACAGAAAAAGTTCGCGGATGTTCAAATTTTCATGAATTTTGTTGGAGGCTAATTTTTGAAATTTTGACATCCACAAACCTTTCCATTGGGTCATGTGAGGTCTCACACAAAGTTTGTACCCGAACGGATTAACCGTTTTGACGTTTATTGAATAAAAACAGACCAACAGACAAGCAAAATTTATATAAAGATTATGAATCGGACATGCCGTTCTACAAATGGAGAGTCACTTGATATTACGTGTACAGTCCCTTTTCCACTCTCCAGCCGCATACATACATATTGATGAAAATAATTCTTTTATGGTAAATACCATTTAATCGATGTCTGCACAGAGCAGACATATTATTTAATAAATGTCATTTAGTGTTCTCCCAGCTTTTCTAACCAACATTTCTTCGGAGATCTTGGATACAGTGAGAGCCAGAAAACTATGGAATAGGAAGACAATATTAAAGTAATTATTAATTGAGTTTTATGTTGTCACAAAGCAACTTATCAAATCATGTTTTTATTAAAAAAGGTCTGTTTACACTGCACAATTGCTGTGTCTGTGTCTCATGTTCTTTAGACATTATAAGTCCAGATTTTTTTGGTTCCCATTCTACATATAGTATGTACATTATCAATTCAGTTTAAGAAGGTATTTTCGTCATTTCTATAGTGTACAAAATTTTTGCGAATTTTCTGTTTGACATTATTTACAAGCAGTCGGTTCAGCAGTGTTGAATTTTATTAAATACAAGCAAAAAGCATACAAAGAGAGAAGCAAAAAATAAAGTACTGACAAATTAGTTGAAGAGGAGAGAGAAGGACATTTTGTTTTTTCGATCATGTCTTCTGTTTTTTTTTGATAATTTCGGCCATTTACAAATAAACAGCTTTTCGCTCTAAATTCCATGTAAACGGTCAAATGCGTCATTGCTTGAAAAATTAGTTGTGAATTGAACCAACTTAAAGTAATTAGAAAATTTTAACCTATAAAGTATATCTCAAAAAATATAGATTTAATGATAATATTTATTTTAATAAATAAATAATTTAAAAATACAATATAAGAAGAAAAACTAATAAATATATACAATAAATATATTCTATTACTATATAATGAATTTGAATTTTAACGAATCCTGATAAAGGATGCGAGACATTCGGATACAGATTTACAAAATTAAGAGTTCATGGTTTAAGCATGTCTTTTTAAAGATGCCTTTTGTTTTTATAATCACAGGCTAAAGGGCCCGGCGTTGCCCGTGGAAAAAAAAATTCAAATCTAAAAAATTTCGAATTTTTTGGCCTGTAACACTCCCCTCCCACCCATGAGTGTCCACACAAAAAATTCAGCCCAATCGGTCCTGCCGTTTGGCCGGCTATATGCAACACATTTATATACGCATGCTTTGTTTTATTATACAGATTATTGACTGATTTCTCTTAATTTACAAAAATTGAGACATGTCTCTTAACCCTAAATAGGGGAGAGGGAGGCGTTTTTTGATGCCGAGGTTAGGGTACAACAGTTTACAGGACTTGAAAAAGGCTGGTTTGTGTTTATACATTTATACATTTAAAAAGCCTTTGAATAATGGATGTAATACTATGTGTCGCATATTAATTTTTGTCAAAAGTAAAAACATTTATTTTTGATCATTTTTAAGACGTACTTTTTGAACTTTTTTTAAATCCTCCCTGGCTTTAGATGTCTAATCTCAACTCTAAGGGCAAAATCATGTGGGAGGAATGGAAAACACCCCCCCCCCCCCTCATCTATATTAGACTAAACTAGCCCAATCGGGATAGGATTTAGAGACTGTGATCCATAACCCGAAAACTAAGAGACTGTGATCCATAACCCGAAAACTAAGAGACTGTGCTCGCAGAACTTTTTATTTTGTAATTCTGTATTCTCTCTCCAGTATAAATTAGACTGAAAAGTTGTAAACAAAACTGTAGACGCTGAGCTGACCCCAACATAACTTTTTCTTTCCCAACTATTGGACCAATGTTTAAATTAAATGCTATAAAAAGAGGGAGAGTTGGAGGGCTGCACTATAATTTTGTCAAATATTAAAAATAAGTTTTTTTACAACCTTAACTCTGGGTTAAAATGTTTGAAAAAAAAACTTTGGTCATTTTTTAGACATTGATTTTTTTTCAGGAAAAATCCAGAATATTAAAAAATTTTTGGAACACCATCGTTTATTTTACAAACCTACTTTTTCTGAGACATTCTGGTATTTTTAGAGAAGTTGTATACACAAGGGGATAGAATGGTATCATGTTTCTAGTGAGGGATATAAATAAATGTTATGGTATTGGTGGGATTGTGGGCCTATACTGTTAACTAACAAGTTCTGAGTGTAAGGGGGGGGGGGAATTTTGAGCAGTTTTATAAAAAATATTAAGAATTTTTACTCTAAATTCTTTGTTTTGTCTGATTCTGTTTTGTTGAGTTCAAGTTCTTCGCGTAGACGATTTAACTCCTGCTCCTGTAAACAATATATACTTTTTAAAGACATACATGTCTTCCTGTCTTCCTGTCTTCCTGTCTACCTGATTATCTGTCTACCTGTCTACCTGTCTACCTGTCTACCTGTCTACCTGTCTACCTGTCTACCTGTCTACCTGTCTGTAATAAATACAGTAGCAGATCCCATAATTACATATAGATCAATTACTTTGTATACATTGTCCGTAATTCTAAGTACGCTTATCAGTAACTTGTATTGCGATTATTCTAACCTAAATACGTCTATAAATAACTACCTCGAACCAATATTGTGATTAGCTTAACTAGGTTTGTATATAAGGATGCAAAACTTACTCCGCTTTGATTACAGTGTGAGAGTAATTACTTCTTGGTTAGCCAAGGAAAAAGGCCCTGACTCACTCTCTTGAAATATTGAACTAGTTTGGGAATCCAAACAGATAAAGTTGTGTCCGGATTGACATTGATAGTAAAGTATTATTGAACTGAATAGCTCTTATGCCTCATCAACCATAACGAGAGGGAACAAGCATTGATACAGATAAAGTCATGTCAGGATTGATATTGATTATAAAGTATTGTTGATCTGATTAGTTCTTATGCCTTGTTAACCATAACGTGAGGGAACGAGCATTGATACCCATAAAGTTGTGTCCAGATTGGTATTGATTATTGATAGTAAAGTATTCCTGGAACCGTGAGTTTCTGATTGAGTTTTAGCTGGATTGATATGGGTCTGAGAGACATTTATGGAGTAGGGCATTTACTACCTATATTCCTGTCTACATGTCTACTCATCCGTCAATATCTACATGTCTGCCTCTTTACCTGTCTACTGAATAACTTATACCTTTCTACTATTATACTTGTCTACCTGTGTACCTGTCTACGCGTATACCTATTTCTTCATAAATACTTGTCTTCCTGACTACTTGTCTTTCTATCTGTTTGCCTACTTCTCTACCTGTCTGTTTATCTATATATCTACCTGTTGTAACTGTTTAATAACTGAGCTGAATGCATAAGGTATAACTATAACCATGATGAGAAGTCCAACTAACAGGATTATCAGGGTAGGAAGGATATCACGTATATCCTGCAGTGATGATATAATTATAATAAAAGTAATAATAATAATAATAATAATAATAATAATAATAATAATAATAATAATAATAATACCTTCCATGTAACACTTTTATACCAAGGTAGTTTAACCTCTAACTGCGCTGTAGGAAGAGTACGGGTTGTTCCTTGACTTGCTAGACTCGCAAGCCGACCTCGCCCTGTCTGAACAAACAGAGAAATTTGATTGTGTACGAACATTTTGCGGATTTTTGATGTACATCTACCGTATGTTCTGTACCATACATGTACTGTATGCTCTGTACCGTACCTGTACCGGAGATGTTGGTAGGTCTGTACTTCTATATTTATCTTCTGTAGCTGTATAATCAATTCTGTCCCCATTTCGACCATCTAGGAAGGACTCGTAGTCAATATATATTTTGATTATTAAACTTGTAATATTATAATTAGAACTTAACTTAATTTCACCATAAAGAAGCTGATAACATCATTTTAAAACTAAGTCTTTGCCACAAACTCAAGTTTTTTAAGCTCTATTTCCTTTGAACCCCATGTCAATGACTTTGGACATTTCAAACTATAAATTACGTTAGATCAAACTTGCTAAGTTTCAAATTTGAAAGGTTTACGCCACCAGGTTGCACAGAGGACCTACGGATTCGAAAATTTGAATTTGTGGCAAAGACTCAAATTGACATGTTTTTTGGACAATGACATTTAAATTAACCTTGAATTGTTAAAACTGTTTTTAATTGTGGGTTCCACAAAAAAGTGACTTGCGCATTTCTACCTCAGGAAAACATGTATAGGAGTATATCAATATCAAACACTTTTAAACCTAGAAAAACAACCATATCTTCTATATTATTGATCAGATAAAAGGTTTAAAGGTTCTAATGTGAATCGGGCAGTGCCATGTTTGCATGCAGGGTCATTAATAACTTTCTTAAACTTTCAAAGACTAAGTTTCCTAGATCTATCACAGGTTGATCTTCTTCAGTCATGTTTGTGTGAACCTAAACAACAACAAAGGATAAGATAAAAGGGATTTTCCACCTAAATAAGAAAAATAAATAGGGCTTCTCACGGGCCACCGAAGTACATTTGAATTTTTAAGCCGGTCAACTTTTCCGGTCCCAGTTTGTACTGTATCGCCCAGACATTGGGTTAATTAAGCAGACACTTAATAGGACTAGCCGGTGCAACAAGGTTGACGCGGTCAGACTTTAGGTTGAATTTACTTTTACTGAAGGGCCGAAGGTGCGTGTTCTAGAGCTTCTAGAGCATCTAGAGCTTAAAGAACTTCTAGAGCTTCTAGAGCTTCTAGAGCTTCTTGAGTTTCTAGAGCTTCTAGAGCTTCACAAGCTTTAAGAGCTTCTAGAGCTTCTAGAGCTTACAGAGCTCATAAAGCTTCAAGAGCTTCTAGAGCTTCTAGAAAGTACATGGTCTTTTTTATAAATAATAGATTTAGCTTTATACATGTTGGCTTTTCACACCATAATCTCTTTCTTCGTACATTATAAAACTAAAAAATACTTGCGGATGTTTCTGAATTAATTGCTGGATTTTTAACCAACTTCTTTTTTGGGGGACAATTTTTTATAGCTCGACCAGACAGATAAAACAAACATAGAGATTAGAGAGATGTATGTAAAATAAATGTATCGAAGAAAATGGAAAAATATACTTATTATCGAATGTATGTCTGACAAGCGTTCAACAATAGATCTTCATGGTTTCCGCAGATTTAGAGTTAATATGAATATTTGTAAATCTACTTCATATATATATATATATATATATATATATATATTAATATTGATATGTTTTTCATCATAACTACTTTATCTAAAGGGCATTTAAAATGAGAAATAGTTTTGAATTTTTCTTTTATGTAATCAAATAACTATAATCTTATTCATGTAATTGTGCGTTAAATCAAGACTGGAGGAGCAACAAGGTCACATAAGCGTAACAATAATTTTGCATAAAGGAATTGAGCCTTTGACACAAACTCTGATTTTCTAATCCCTATATCTCTGCAATCCATGATGTCGTAGAGCTTAGATATTTCAAACTATGAATACTGATAGATCAAATATAAAAATTTTGAAATATCAAAGATTTACACCATCAGACTGTAAAAAAATAGGGATTGGAAATTTGAGTTTGTGGCTAAGGCTCAATTCCTTTGGTCGTTTTCTAAAAATTACGTCTCTTTATGTATTGTACAGTGTACTAGACGCTGAACCGAAAAAATAAGTATGGGATGGGAAATGATGAAGGAAAAGGATGGGGAAAAGATAAGAGAAAGAAATGCTAAGGGAAAAGAAAAGAGGAAAGAGAAAGAGTAAAAAAGCAAAAAGGTTGGATGTTGGAAAATTATAGAGTTTTATTACTGTAAATGCACTATCTAGAGTTGTGGAGGTTTATTACTTACACAACCTTCAAATCCTTTAGATAAAATATCTAAATCATAATCTTTTTTGTATCCCCCCCCCCCACGTTTCCTCCGATTTTAAAGAAAAAAAATATATTTTACAATTTAGTGTTAAAATTAATTAACTATTTTTAAAATTTTAATTGAAAAATTACACATCAGATCTTAATGACGGAATATAAACTTTAAACATGAAAAGTAACAAATCTTTACAAAAATTAATTAAAAATTTTCAAGAAAAATGTGATTTTGAGCTGGATCGAAATCTATGTTTTTCGGTACAAGCCCTGTAGGAATTGAATCCAATTCCGCATCAATATGATATGGGAATTGGTATTTTAAATCAACCACATCATTTTAAGTTTATCAGACTAAGATTGAGGACTTGAAAGAAACATCATTGCAAAATGTTCTACTCGATATAAATCTAATTAGTTTACTGTGTACCAAAATGTTCTACTCGATATAAATCTAATTAGTTTACTGTGTACCAAAATGTTCTACTCGATATAAATCTAATTAGTTTACTGTGTACCAAAATGTTCTAATCGATATAAATCTGATTAGTTATCTGTTTACCAAAATTACATTTTGTTTTTGAAAACTGTTTTTTTCCCCCTTTGAGGTTAATCTTTGAAAAAGTGACTTGCACATTTCTTGAATCAGAAACGATGAAGAAATTATCAGAATTAAATACGTTTTAAGTTAAAATTACATTATCCTCTGCAGTTTTGATTAGTTAATGGTTTAAGGGTCCTGTTGTACCCTTCCTTGAATATTACGACAATATAGTTCTTGAAAAATGAATACTACATAGCCATAGCACATTTGAATTACTGAGTCGGGTCAACCTTTCCGGTCCCAGTTTGTACTGTAAAGCCCGGACATTTGGTAAATTAAGCAGACGCTCAATAGGACTAGCTGGTGCAATATGGTTGACGCAGTCAGATTTTAGAATTAATTTACTTTTACTGAAGGGTCAGAGGTGTGTGACTATAATAAGAGTTTTGATAATACGATACAATCGAAGCAAGTCAGCAACTTCTAGCAGCCTGGCCTGAAATATTTGAGAAAATTGTGTAGAATTTATAGAGACTTAAAGTTTAATATTAGATAGAAAAGATATCTTTAACAACATCATTTACTGGAGTTTGATTTCCAACCCAGATTTTATATTGAATTTTAAAACCCCGAGTGGAATGTTGAATATAATCTCGTTCTATGGGGAACAAGAGTTGGGCTGGAAATATTAATGTTTTGTAAGTCTACACCAACTCCAACAAACAAACATGTTGTACAGTGGGACCCAGATATAACAATGGGAAAGGAAAAACTTCTACTGAAGCAATTCTGAAGTTTAAAAAGAACCCTTTTACTTCACTGTTTCTTTTTAAGTCATCATTTTCCATCACACTCCAACGAAATCCTATTTTTCGGGGTTTTCTGCATGTTTAAACTGCCGGATTTTCAAAAATAATAATATTTCATTCAAATTGCTTAATTTTCACCTTTCCTTGGGTATAGTGAGTTGCCTCACAATTTTAGGCAGGATCGGTTAAACGGTTTTGACGTTTATTGGACACAAACAGACAATCAGACAGACAGACAAGCAAAGTATATATATATAGAGAGAGATATATGGTTTATATATTAATTAGATTTCAATTTGAATTCTTTATACACATAGTATTCTATCCTGGTTTAAAGAGAGAATAATGAGAGTGAAGGACTTGAATACTAATATAGAAATATTATACATAATAGATATAAAGAATACATATATATATATATCTATTCAAGGGGGTCAGTTGGAGCCGATTTGATTTTTTGGAATTTGTTGCATTTTGAATTATGTAAAATTGTTATTTTAATGTTTGATAAAAGTATAGAAAAAATGGAATCTGAGTCACACTGCACCAGAATATAATTTATTTTTATGTAATGGTTTTTAAATTTATTCCCATTTTTAATGTACAAATTACAACTTCTCGTAAATATACAGTGCTCCCCAAAATAAACTGGTGAATACAGTCGACTTTCCCATTTTATTTTGGAGAGCACTCTATATTCATCAGAAGTTGTCTTCTTTTACCATTTTATTTTGTGGAGCAATTGAGAAGTTGTTTACATTTACCATTTTAGTTTAGGGAGCACCGTACTTTTAAAAAAGTTGTCTTCATTTACCATTTTATTTTAGGGGGCACTTCATATTTATCAGAAGTTGTCTTCATTTACCATTTTATTTTAGGGAGCACTGCCTATTTATCAGAAGATTTGTCTTCATTTACCATTTTATTTTAGGGGGCACTTCATATTTATCAGAAGTTGTCTTCATTTACCATTTTATTTTAGGGAGCACTGCCTATTTATCAGAAGATTTGTCTTCAT